ATCTCAGAGATCAGTGCATCGCGAGAAGTCTTGGTACAGAGATGAAAGGCGGCGGGGCGACTGAGTGTATGCCAGCTATTTGCGAAACGCCGCCTCTTGCAACACGCAGAAGAGGAATAGGCGATGGTGCGATGATCACGCCTTGACAGCTCTGGGCACAGGTGCAGGCTTGCTCTTCGCAGGCGTCGCGCCGCCTAGCGCCGCACCTGCCATCTTCGCCGCCCTGAGCAGCGCGCTCTTGTTCGTCCTCGGCGCGACCGCGGGGGCCTGCAGGCTACTCGGCCTCGGCCGCGGCTTCGCAGGTTGTGAGTTACCATTTGCCTTTGCATCTGGATTGTGGTCCTGGGTCTCGGCATCGTCGGCAACGGGCTTGGCCTTCGTAGCGGAAGGCGCGGTGGAGGGTCGCGATCCCGGCCTAGAAGACTGGGAGGTTGCGCGGGAGAAGGTAGCGGGACGGGACGCCGTCGCCGTCTGCACGGATGCCGCGGAAGGCGGGCGGGAGATAGTAGGACGCGCGGAGCTGGTGCCGCTAAAAGACTGTCGGGAGGAGGAGCGCGCTGGCGGTCCCTGAGATGTCTGGCGGACTGGAAAAAGCCGATGTCAGTCGACGGCAGGAGCGACGCTGTGTCACGATGTATCCTAAAACCTACAGGAGAAAGACGACGGAGGCGCAGCTTCCTTCTGCTGCCTGAGTGCCGCACTCTTGTTCAGTCTTGGGGCGACAGCGGGCGGGCGGGTGCTCGCGACCGAGATCGTCTCCCTCCTCTTATGGCCCGGCACACCATCGAACGTCTGCTTCGGGTCCTTTGTAGGAGGGCCATTGCTAGTCGTCGGCCTCTTGGGCTTATCCTCTGGCTTGATACCGAGCCTGAGAGACGCCGCGCGGGTCATGCGCGGAGCCACAACAGGCGGCGCAATCGATGCGACAGTGATCGTCTCGGAACGCTTGTGTCCGGGCACATTCGCGAATGTCTGTGCGAGGCGCTCCTTCGTCGGCGGGGCACGCTTCGGTGTCTCTACTGGTATACCTGCTCGGAGCGCAGCAGCCTTGGACATGCGCGGCACAATATCGGGGGCAGCGTGGGTGGGAGGCAGAGGGCGCGCCTTGAAAGTGGGTTTGCCGGTGCCGTTGACAGAGGTCCCTGCCGTAGAGGAGGCGGCGTATCCATTCTCAGACTGCCCATTTCGTCCAGAAGATACAGAGAGCAGTGAGCCCGCAGGGACGTTCTCGTAGTCGGCCTGCCCGACATCGGGCAGCTCAGCGGTAGGGAAGGGCGGCGAGGATGCGAAGATTGCCTGAATCTGCATTTCGGCCATCTGGACGTCCGAAGAGCCCATGACCGCGTTCTGTGCCACCGAAATACCGTAAAGCGCACGGAGAGAGTTGGGGGTATCTCTGCGCGCGACGTCGGGGTCGGGGTCGCCCATGAGCGACTGCCAGACCTCAACCGCGCGCCGCCGCTCGAGGACATATACCCAAACAGGACCCCTATAAGCGAGAGCGTCATGATTCACAGGGGCAACCGAACAGGGGGCGGGGGAGCTCACTCGGCAAAGGACTCGTAGTCGCTACCGAACAGCTCAAAGAGCGTTTCTGGATCGGACTCTACGTCGAACTCCATTTGTCTCTCTTTGACAATCTGAAGAACATCTTGACATTGAGTCCTGTATCGGAGACTCGCATAGTGAATGCACCAGTCAGGACATACCTCAAAGCCTGCGTCAGAGATACGCAGCTCGATATCGAATCGGTGGTTGAGCGCATGGTTCTTGATAATGGCGACCGTGCGCGTCGAGGGCAAAATAGGACTAGAAATGGTCTCTCCGGGAGCCTGGTTAGGAGAAGTCGGAGCGGACATGTTTGTGAGAAGACGAGAAGGAGCGAACGAGCCCGGAGAACGGAACTATGGACACAGGCAATCAATTGCAAGCAGCTTAGCGAAGAATGTTATCAAGGAAAGGAAAGCAAGATGAACTGGAAGCCCCGGAGGAGAATCTGAGGAGATCTTATGTTCAAGTTGAAGGAGGTTGGGAGTTCAAAGACTGGGAGATGCTCGTGCCCCCGGCCTCGCTCTGATCTTAGACCTATCTCGAGTGGCAGCGTGTCTGTGCGGACCCCGGACACATCCTAGTCGCCCTTTAGACCGGTGCCTTCACTTTCTTGTGCTCACTGGGCAGCAGTCCCTCCTTGATGGAAACCAGTGTTTTCACCGCCGCTCATGCGATCTATGCAAATTTGTGGACCTTGGCCGAAATATAATTACCTTCTGCCTCTTCGGCCGCTTGGACAACGCTGGAGGCTGTGACACGACGCGTCCTGTTACGCCGTCACAGCTCACCTTGACGACACGGGCGTTTCTCTGAGATTCAGTCGGGTCCGGCTGTATAATATGGATGACTTAGTCTGAGCTTCTAGGTGGATAGTCAGGCTTTCCCGCTATTGCGATTGCTCTACGTGTGGTAGAATCGTGTCTTTTTTCGAGTTGAGCTCACCTTGAAGACTTCTAAAGCATCATGCTAATCACTCTAGTCAGATCGTGCTCACTAACTGCATTACATCACCGTCCGACGAGACTACTCGTCGACTCCAGGGCATCTGTTGAACTCTTACTGCAGCAAGGCAATGCTCTCTGATAGATTGACTTGGAATCGAGCGTAATTGGTCTGGTAAGGGTGCTACGCGCATCACCGAATGAACACACATCTCGCTGAGGTTGGCTTATAACTGGCTTTGAGAGAGACCGTGTGGCAGAGGTCCTGGGAACACAGAAAATGCATTCATTCCACAGTCCGGCTTATACTCAGGAGGCATAGGCATGGAGATCCTTGCAATGGCTCCTGGTATGATGAGGCCTTTCACCGAGCGTGCAATTCTACACTTGACAAGTGGCTTAGAACTCGAATGACAGACTTTAGCGAAGGCTTCCTCTCTGCAGAGACCTTCTGCGGTTGCTATGTACTACTGAATTAATTCTCGTGGTTTCACTGAGTCTTGAGTCACCATGCATAAGCCTCAGCGACCGTTCACTGCGCACTTCATCATCGAGGGACCTGACTATAAACTAGTCAGTACTTCAGGGGCAGTGGTCGCCACGCCAGACGCGGCACGCGATGGCGCGACCGCGGAGCAGAGGCAAAGGTCCCGTGACCTAGGGTGCCTGCGCATGCTCTGGTGGGCGCTTGGAGGTGCGGCATGCAGAGGCTACTCACTGTCGACGTCCATCTCAAATTCAAGAATCGCTAGAACGCTAATCACCTCGCGCTGCACACTCGATCCCCTCGCTTCCTTTCTTTCAAACCGCCATGATCTCCCGCACGCATGCTCGCAGGCTCCCGACCCTCGTCATTCGCTCCCTCTCTACAGAGACTGCGACATCGTCCGGCCCACAGCCCCCACCTCCGCCGCCGCCTTCCCAGTCCAAGCACCCTACGGCCAAGCCGCTCTCGCGCTCACGTCTCAATCCCGCACCACGTCCTGCAGTATCACACAGGCACCAGGTGCTTGCGTCGCTCCCGCCCTCTTTCGGCCGCAACCAGTTCCTGCCAGTGGCGGACTCCACACGCGCCCTATTGGAGAGCATCGTCGCCAAGTTTGAAGCCCCCATCCGGTATGCATTTGCGTATGGCTCAGGGGTATTCGAGCAAGACGGGTACCCAACGAGCAATCCGGCATCCAAAGATGGGCCGATGCTCGATTTCATGTTCGCCGTCACGCACGCGGATCACTGGCATTCGATCAATATGCACCAATACCCTGGGCACTATCCACTGGGTGCGCGGATGCTGGGATCTTCGTTTGTTGCAAGAGTGGAGGCAATTCCCCCGGGTGTGTGGTTCAACTCCATGGTCCATATGAACGGAGTGGTATGTGCTCTCGGGGTGCGAGGTCGAGAACAGCGCTCACGAGACCTCCCTTAGAATGTCAAGTATGGAGTTACGACGGTCGACAACCTTTGTTCAGACCTCCTGAACTGGAATACTCTCTATCTCTCCGGCCGGATGCACAAGCCGATCCGCATTATCAAAGATGACGCGCGCGTCCGGCTGACGCAGCAGGTCAACCTCACCTCTGCCGTGCGGACCGCGCTCCTCACGCTCCCGGACTCGTTCTCGGAGCGTGAGCTCTTCGAGCGCATCGCCGGCTTCTCCTACGGCGGTGACGTACGCATGCTTCTCCCAGCGGAGAACCGCGGTAAAGTCGGGAATATTGTGCGCAAGCAGGGCCCGCAGTTCAAGGAGCTCTACCATCGCCTTGTCGTCGCCCTTCCCGGCGTGGAGTGGCCCGCACACTCGTCGACGATCCAGCAGGACACAAGCCCGCACGCTCGTGCGGCGCATCTGAAGAAGCTCCCCTCGAACCTCATCAAGGGTATCACGAGCCGCTACGCTTCGGAGCCGTTCATCCCGCCGAGAGAGGCGGACGAAACTGTCTATTGGACGAAGCTCGCAGGCGACCCGGCTTTGCCCACCGTCATCGAGAAAGGTACGACTGCGTTTCCTGCCGCGCCGGACTACTTGCTAATCTATCGTCGCCACAGAACTGCACAGAATCGTACGGTACTCCTCGGCCGTCCAGACGCTCAAGGGGCTCGTGAGCGCAGGCCCCATCAAAAGCTTGCGCTACTCGACGGAGAAGGTGGCCAAATGGTGGAAAGGGTCCGGGTCGAGCTCCCCCTCTTCTCCAACAGGATCGGGCTCCAGCTCCAGCTCGGGCTCAAACCCATGATATCTGCACGCTGCTGGACTTCGGTAATAGGCGCTTGTGCAGGTCGCGGCGGACTCACCGGATTGATGGAAGTAGAGAGGCTCGGTGCTCTTCACCTTCCCTCCCCATCCTTTCTTATCTCATATGGTATAATACTTACACATAGAATTTCCGGCTGCGGCAGTACGGCTTAGTCTGGCATCTGTATCAATATTATTGCCCATTCATGATACACCGCTGGAACTTGGCTTCGACGTGAAGAAACAGTGATTGACATGAACATGTCTCGATAGATCCTCCGATAGCTCAGCTGGAAGAGCGCAAGACTGTAATTGGCAGATCAGATTATCTTGAGGTCGCTGGTTCGACCCCGGCTCGGAGGACTTGTTTTTGCCGCCCTCCATGTGACTCCTGGATCACATCGCATTGTCCTCCGTCTGGTCGAGATATAGTATACCACGGCATTGTCCCATCCGTACGGAGATTTACATACTAGCCAATGACTGATACCATGCCTTATAGCGATTTATGGGGACGGAGTGCCTGAGGAGTGGGCCACTTGTCGTACTGGCTGACCATCTTGTAACCCATGGAATAGTCCGTGCCATCCCCCTGTAATAAAGCACAACGCTCAAATACACCGAAATAGAAAGGTTGACGTTCAAGGTGGCCACTCACGATATATGTATGTGGAAATCCGGGTTCGAAGGGGACGACACTCTCGATCCGCTTCAAATGCTCGTCCGAGAGAGCGACGTCGAGGGCTTCCACGTTCGCCTTCAACTGCTCGACCTTTCGCCCTCCGACGACGGGGAAGACGTATGGGTTCTTTTGCATAACGTATGCCACCGCGACTGAAAAGGCAGAGCAACAATGGGCCCGGAGGTAGGAGATGGGCATACACTATGCGCGATACAGGACGTACCAGCTTGGATGTTCGAGGCGCCAACCTCCGCAGCGATCTCCTCAAGCACTTTCGCCATCTTCTTCTCGGTCTCATTCCGCTCCCAGCCGTGGGTAAGGAAAGTACGGCCTGCCAGAACACGTCAAGTTCAGTACGTATACGCGACCTGAACGAAGCCTGTACCCTTCTCGCCTGTTCGGCGGCGGTTCTCCTCTTCTGCATCAGTGCGGATCTTTCCACCCGCGAGCACGTTCCACGGCACGATAGCCATGCCCTCGGCTTTGGCCATGGGGATGATCTCGCGCTCAAGATCGCGCTGCAGGACGTTCCATGCGCCCGAGTAGACAACGAAAGGTGTCTTGCCCGTCAGACGCGCGTAGGTGTTAGCACGAGAGACGACCCAAGCCGGAGTGTTTGACGCGCCCTGCGATACGGCAAGCCATCAGCTTATCTGTGTCATCGTTAACGTATTTGCTCTCGCCAGAAGTTGATTCACCAAGTAAAGCACTTTGCCCGCCGCGACGAGGTGGTGCAAGCCGTTCATGACCTCCTCGATGCTAGTCGTCCAATCCCACTGCAGCGCATCAACTCAGCGACAAGCAAGTTTCAGCAGGTCGTGCTTACCCAATGGACGTAGAGAATGTCAATATAATTAGTTCGAAGCTTCTTCAGCGACTCCTCGACAGAGATGTGCATTGATTTGACGTTATTGCCGACATAGGACGTTTTCTGCTTGATATCGTCCCTGGAGAGTTTGTACATGGTGGTGTACTACAGGGAAGCAACATCATAACGGCTGTTGTACGGTCTCTCAGAGGCGGACGGACCTTGGTTGCGATCACCATCTGGTCGCGGATGCCTCGCTCTTCCATCCACTGGCCGATGAACATCTCAGATGTCTCGCTCTGATAATTGCTAGCGGTGTCAATGAAGTTGCCTCCGGCCCCGTAAAACGCGTCAAGTAGCTCAAAGCTCGTCTCCTTGGTCATCGGACCCAGGCCGAGCTTGTCCCACTGGTCACCGATGCTCATGCCGCCGAGGCACAGAGGAGAGACGTGGATGCCGGCGAGCGGTGCCAGTTGACGGTGCCGATACAGCCTCGTCGGTGGCGGCGGAGCTGGTTGGAGAGTAGACATAGCGGGTGTTGTGAACAGGAGACTGAGTGAGTATGCGAGTCTTACAGGGTCACCGTAGGTGCTGCAGGTGCACAGCTGAGTACTGGGATCAGTATATATACTAGACTCAAGCCTCCGTCAAACGGAGAATATTCGCAGCCTCGTGTGCGGCGGCTGCAACTAATGCAAAGCCGAGCCTGAAAACAATGTTCGGCATATGGAGGACGGCCTATCGGAGATTGTGTTCAAAGGGTGTATGCGTGTGCGGGATCTATCGCCGCCGCCGCATACACTGATCGTTCAGCACTACCGACAAGTCATATGCACTGTGCAGGGGTCGTTCACGCTATAAGACAACCAATCGGGTCAGACTCGTTGATATACAGTAATGAGGCTATGCATACAGCACCGTAGCGTATAATCGGGCGCGGTTGCCTGAGGGTATGGAAGGCGATGGGGGCCGGGTGAGATTTCTGCAGTTCAAGCGTAGATCGGACTATGGTCGCCGTCCGCAACAATCATGAAGGGGAAATATACTAAAACCTATCAAGGACCTGAAGTAACGCGTTGTACGGACTCACACGCTCAATCATGCGGTGGCGCGACGAACCACCTAAAAGTCTTCAAGAGCCGTCGGCAATCTGGCCTCGCGAAACGGTGGGTCTAAGTAGCGTAGCCTACCGTATATCACGCGTGCGGCACCTCTGCACGCTTCCTGGCACAACTTGAGATTCATCAGAAGACGACGTTGATCCCCACACTATCTCGCGCAGCAATGCGCTCCTCGGAGCACATGTGCATCACTAGTATGCATCAGACACGCATGTAGTACCGCGGTTGTCATCGAACTACGGTTCGTTTACCGGTCCTCGAGAAACCCATAAATTTCACAGTCGCGAATAATTCCTCTGTTATGCAAGATCCCATAAATCGTGACAAAGGACGTACAAAACCTGCTGAAGCAATGAATGGCCAATGAATTGGGTGATTCTGCAGAGTTTTCAGCGGAACACACGCAAGTTCAATGCTTACAGTGTCATCAGTGTCCTCTCGTAAGCATACCAGTCTTCAAAGCTCTCCGCCGTGTCCCTGAAGTATCATTAGGTTTCTTAACAGCTTAGAGAGGCTCCCACATCAATATCAGACAGAGAGAGTTGCGCCAGGTTTGAAGAGGATAGTGGCAGAAAGCGCAGGTGCAAGTACACCCACCTCAGCGACTCTCAAGCACCAGGGTGAACAAGCCAGTGTATACGTGGCCTGGGATGAAGGACAAGTAGGGAGTCAGGACGATGTGACGCCTTGATATTGGAGACGGCCTGCCCTTTCGCGGTCAATCACGTGTATCTCGATCTGAATCTGATCTGCACCGTACGTGGACGCGCTGTTCGCGCCGGTCGTGGTCCCCGAGTCTGTCTCCGCCACTGCCGCCCTGGCCTTCATCTTCGTCTCTCCTCGTCTGCATCGGCCTTCGCGATCGCCACTCAGATGGATATCGACGACGATAACACGTCTACCGAAGACCGTTGGCTTGATACAGTTGAAGGCGAGATCGCATTCTTTCGCTCCCTCATGCGCGCGCGTCCTGTCGGAATCCACCGCCACTTCCACGTCCTCACAATGCGGAATGCTATCCTCCGCGACACCGGCCAGCTCGTCGCCGTCGAAGACATATGGGACAAATTGCGTAGCTGCTATGACCTTGATATCCTCGAGAGCATCGTGAGTTCTCTCGGCTGTCGTTTACCTTGACTTGGCTCATGCTCGCGTGTCTTCTCTCACGATCTGGTTCGCAGGAGGCAGATGGGTACGACCTTCCGGGAGAGAGCCCTGCAAGCACGCCGCCATTGCCTGTACGCTCTCCATCACCCTCAGACAACCTCTCAATCCACCCCTTCTTCCGTCATGAATATACCCTCCCTCCAGATGAGACGCTCGACGCGCTCGTCTCTGCTCGACGCATGCGCGCGTCGGCCTCACTCCCCTCATCATCACCTGCTCCTTCACCCTCAGCACACACGAAAGCCAGCCGTGGAGGTGGCCGCAAAGGGAAGAGTAGACTCAAGCATATGGCCGGGCTAGTAGGCGGGGATAGCGATAGCAGTGCGCTCACTCAGGAGAGCGGAGACGAAAGTGTCGCGCCCACACCCCGAGATAGCATAGCGACTGGAACGGATGCCGGAACGGAGGACGGTGAGGACGAAGAAGATCCAAGAGAGTCGCCAGGTACGTTCCACGCTCTCCAAGAGCAAAGGTGTGTTCACAACTCATTCCAATACTGTCTCCAGCTGCCTCGATAGCCTCGAAGCAACTCCGAAAGGGCGCGAAGGGCTCAAGACGGGGAACAGGGGGCGCTCGTGGAAGGGGTGGTTCAACAGCTGCCCGCGGCACGAGAAGGAAAAAGAAATAGCCCGTCCGCTATTCTGTTCCCTCCTTCCTCCCACTATCCATCTACGTTGTGTGATATCGAAGTCGTGATGCGCTGTATTGCTATGTTGTTTGCCGATACCCATCCAATTCAGTCTGCTACGCCACACGCAACGAAAACATCTCGCTGGGGTAGACTTAGGTTCAAAAGTAGAGGATATGCATAACCCATGTGTACAGTATCGCGTGGTCTGTTCTCGTTTTGGCGACATGGCATACGCATACATGTGAAGACAACGACGCCCGCGCACGGCATCGCAAGCAGATGGCATGGCTCCCGCCTACACTCCCATCACGGCACCTGGCCTGCCCTGATCAAAGACAGGAACGAACCTCACGCGGTCCGAGCAGCCTCGATACGCCTGCGGGCAACCTGCCGCCTATTGAGGCCAGTGAGTGATGAAGTAGCGACGACATCCTTATCCTTGGCCCGCTCGACCTCAGCATCGGACGCAGAGAGAATGATCTCGACATGGCAAGGGTGACCCTGGTAAGGATTGATACGACCATGTGCGCGGTACGTGCGGCGGCGGGTTTTCTATGTGGCAAGAGAAAGTGAGCTGATGTAAGCCTAAAACGTTGAGATGAGCTCGAAACATACAGGAGCCTGCTGAACAACGATGTTCTTGATGTAGAGGTCCTCAACATCAATGTTTTTCGCGTCCGCGTTCGACTCCGCGTTCTTCAAGAGGCGAGTGATGAACTTCACGGACTTCTCGGGCCAGCGGCCTTCACAAATATCTCATCTCAACAAGACTGAGTTGTTTTCGGTTACGCGATATGACGCACCCTGAGTCGCCTTGAACTGCTTGGCCTGGCTCGCACGACCGACACCACCGGAGAAGCGGCGGAAGGGAATAACCTGCTTGTGGTCCTTGACGTCGCTGAGGTACGCATACGCCTTCGTGAGCTTGAGGCCTGCGATGTTAATTCACCCTTC